AAACCCTAAAGCCCTAAAAACCTTAAAGCCCTCAACAAAAAAAACCTAAAACCCTAAAGCCCTGAAACCCTAAACCCTGAACAATAAAAAACCCTAAAACCCCAAAAACCCTAAAGCCCTCAACAATAAAAACCCTACAACCCTAAAAACCCTAAAACCCTCAAGACCTAAAAACCCTAAACCCTCAACAACAAAAAACAACGAAAAGCCCTCTAAACCCCAAAAACCCTGAACCCTCAACAATAAAAAAAAACACCAAAACCCTCACAAACCCTGAACGCCCTAGAAACCCTGGAAAAAGGAACCCAGAAGCTGAACTCCAAGTGGCTTGGGGAAGACCTAAGTTCATGGCACAGCGGACCATGGCGAAAGGAGCCTTCAACGAGGGCTTTAGGGTTTTAGGACTTCGGGTTTTTAGGGTTTTAGGGGTTTTTTGTTGTTGAGGGTTCAGGGCTTTGGGGCTTTAGGGCTTTCGGGTTGAGGGCTTTAGGGGTTTAGGGTTTTGGCTTTAGGGCTTTAGGTTTGAGGGCTTTAGGGCTTAGGGTTATAGGGGTTTAGGGTTTTGGCTGTAGGGTTTTAGGGCTTTAGGGCTATAGGGGTTTAGGGTTTTGGTTTTAAGGCTTCAGGGTTTAGGGCTTAGGGGGCTTTAGGGGTTTGGGGTTTAGAGGGCTTTAGGGCTTTAGGTTTTAGGGTTTAGGGCTTCAGGTAGTGGGTTTGGGGGCTTCAGGGGTTAGGGGGCTTTCTGGGTTTTGGGGTTTCAGGACTGAGGGGCGTTAGGGGTTAGTGGGCTTTAGGGGTTTAGGACCTTAGGGTTTCGGAATGTTTCGGACTTGGGGACCTCTGGCTTTGGCTTTCCGGGTAAAGGAGCCTTGAAAGGACGCTCCTAATTTTCGGACTCTCGGCCCAAGGGCACGACGTTTCAAGCGTCTTAGAAGGCATTAGTGGTTTTCCGGTGCTTTATTATCAGAAGTGTGCTATCTGCTGGTTTGTAAGGGTTTCGCTTGAACAATGCATTTTTGCGGTAAGGGTGCCCTTGGCTGTTATATAAGGTTATCACGAGTTCTTACAGTGTCATAGGGGGTTCTCAACTGTTTTTAATGAAAAACATGGGTTTCATAGGGGTCTCAACTTCTGACGCACTACTGTGAGACTTTGGTGATTTGGCATCTCAGCAGTCGCTGTATTCCGGCGCCCTGGAAGCTTATACTGAACAGTACTATACTATACTATGCTATGCTATAAACAATACTATAAACAACTATATAAAAATATACTATATAAAAATATAGCCAACCCTAAGCCCAAATCCCCGGAATCGGTGTTAGAAGCATAGTTGTGCTCTCGGGCTTCAGGGCCTCGTTGCGGGGTTTACCCTCAGCAGTTGATGTGCTCCTTAGGGCTTCGCTGTCTTGTTCGGGGCTTCCAACCACCCAAACTGATTCAGACCCTAAGCCCTACCCATAGGCCCCATAGTAGTTCCTTTTTGGGATTCCCTAATAGGATTCTAAATATGAAGCCCAAACAGGAACTACTATGGGGCCTATGGGTAGACCCTAAACCATGTCCAACAACATGGTAACCTCGCTTTTTGGAAATGCCATCTGTGGGTCACCCTGGATGAATGGAGCGGCCTCGTTGGCGAGTAGCGTTCCAATCAGGGTCGCAAATGCCTGGGCCAGAGGCAGGAAGAGAACTGGATCCCCGAATATGAAAAAAGTAGTTTATACAAACCCTAAACCCTTATGAAAGCTGTAGGACTGTGGACTCTTCCCAATGAACACCAAAAAGGCTCTAGGATGCTAGACTCCTCTCTTCCTCCGCCCTTCACCCTTGATCGTGAACTCAACCACGAACAAGCTCAACCTCGAAGCCTAGCACTCAAAACCTCTGAATCCCCTATATAAAGGCCTGAGATAGTCACCTATACTATTTTTGGAGGGCTCCTTGTTGTAATATACCCCCCCAAAACCCTATTCAAATTATTAAGGCCCCTATATTACTTGCAGATCAAAAACCACTGATAACGTGCAAAAGCAGGGACTCCCATGCATAGGTGGTTTTGGGTTTGGGGTTTCGGGTTTAGGGTTTGGGGTTCAGGGTTTAGGGTTTAGGGGCCCAGAGAGACGCCTCGACAAAAGATTTCATCTGGGCGATATTCGCCCAAAAGCCTGCCATCAGCCCACACGGTAAGCGAGTACATCCCCGAGAATCGCTCCAGGCCTAATTCCCTGAATCGTAGTTATGGGGTTTTGGGGTTGACAGTAGAATGTAAGTATAGGCTACTGTCCTATGTAAAGAAAATCTATTATTCTACTCCACCAGGGTAACTGGGCTGCCAGAGATACACAATACCTCAACTCCCCCCGGCCCACACAAAGACAAATCAAAGCTGAAGCCCTGAACCGCTAAACCCGTTCTTGTGATGCGCCTGCTCGTCAAAGCGCACCCCGCCGCGCACCTAGTAGGAGCTGCTGGCAACGCGAGGGTTTGCATGGCGGCT